TTGCAATAAAACGGCAATTTCATACTTTAACCCCTAATATTATAAAAGCTGAGGGGCACTGTCACTACGTCTGTCGCCTGGAGACATAAGTCGACAAGTCCCATGTTATTTCCCCAGCACCCTTAAGCTTCAAAACCGGATCGCAGTAATACTCACATTACTGCTTGGCGAAAGAATAGGGAGTTCGCAGTACTTCCGTGTATTAATTCTTTCACAAGGAACTCTACCGTGTAATAGAGTAAGAGGTTTTAAGTTCAGAATAGAGGTACAAGATAATACTAGTACTAACGATATTAATCGATGACTTTTTTAATCTTAAATAGGAGAGTTGTAAAATTTCATATATGTACATAATTTATTTCATATAATCGTATTATTTTTATAACTTTCATCTGATGCAAGAAGCTTTTGACATATGATCACATGTGGCTTTTTATACCAAGGATACTAAATATTTACACCATTTAAACCATTTAAATCAATGATTTACAATATATACTAAGAAGAACCTAAGAACCTCGCAGGACCATATTACTTTTTATTATACCAAGTGACGGGACGAACAAGTCGTGCGCCTGGTAGTAAGCGACACGCCTATCTATAACAGTTGTAGTGCCACTCAGAGCTTTAAATCACATAGATCTGAGAAGCACTACCGCTGCGCCGGTCGCTCTGAGACATAAGTCGACAATTCCCTTGTGCCTGTAATATCACCAGCACCCTTACCCTTCAAAACCAGGATGCAGTACTCACATTACTGCTTGGTGGAAGAAATAGGTAAGGGTACTTCCCTGGACGAACACTGGAAAAACATAAACGACAACTTTTGTACTACGACTTCTTACAAAACATAATAGTACATTTATAAAAAATTAACTTATAAGTTTTTGTTGTACTAGATACTTTTTAGATCTGTTTTGGTGGTAAGTTGAAAGTTCAACCCCACAGACGACCCCTACCCCCGCTTGCGCATTTTTCACCGTACCGTACAAAATTGTAACTGTTAAAAGCAATCTATTTAATATTTTTATTTTTGTAAACAGGTAAAATCTGATGAAAAGTAATAAAAGTTATTGTTGATAATATTAGTAATTTAGTCCTGGGATGTTGGTAGCATTTTACAATTAACACTGAATATACAATTAATCACCACAACAGTTTATCTATTTGAATGATTGCCTCGACATATTAACTAACAATCTATTAAAATCACTACTTCGAAGCTCGAAATTCGTAGCCATTTTCCCATTATGATGACCTACAGACTTGAGTTTCGATCGGGGCTAGAACTAAGAATATAGTCGTTTGGCAATTTCGAACGGTCCCGTCTTTTTGTTGACGGACGTATGTTCCACAAATTCTCACTAGCGGGGATCCTAAAGCTTGATTTCATTTGATTTAATTGTTACTATGTCATTGACAAACCCCCCCTTTTTTTAACAGTGTAAAAGCTACGATGTTTTGTCAATGTCTGCGTAGTATCAAGTAGTACGCCAGTGGCGATTAGGAATAAAATTAAACATTGGGATCTCCACCAGTGGAGATTTGAGGAACATACCCGTAGGACATCTAGTATATTGGGAAAACGACCCGTAACTACAGATTTCGTACTTCGAGAGTTGGGCCCCAGACGCCCCAGACATCCTTTTTGTATGTTTTTTGATATGATTTCTCGGCACTACTACCAATATTTGTCAAAATTAAGCAATTTAATGTAAAAAACCCTTTTGTTATGTCTAGTTTCTGGTGCAGGCGGAGGAATAATGGGGTGGACAGCCCGAGCTGGCTCATTCGTAGTGGAAAAGATGAACATTTTCAGTTACACTGAAAGTGTTCCTAACGCTACGGTAATTGTTAAACAACCATCCTTTTTAGAGAGGTGAGTTCTTGTTTATATTTTATACTACTCCAGTTATTATTACGCGTTCATTATGGAGACACAATAACATTCGATTCTACAGCAACTCCGAACAGAGAGTTCAGAGCACCAAATCTGTTAATGTTCATGAAACCATTGGTTATTGTGAGACTATAATATTGCAATTATGACAATACTTTGTTATAATTATTAAAACAAATATCGAACACTTAGAAAAAATCCTTCGATCCAGCCGGATTCGAACCGACGTCTTCTAGCAAACCGTGAACGCTATGCCAATTAAGCCACGGAACGAACCAGCGGACCTCACGAATGTTTTCTATGTGCTTGTTGTCGTATCAAAAAAAAAATGTTTAATGCGTAATAATTGTAACAAACTAGGGGAGTGAATTGATATTCAATCATAGATATCCTATATCTATAGCTCAATAGTGTCAGTGGAATGTCAGTGATGGCATTTGTTCAGTCAATCACTTACAATCGATATAGCCTTACTAAAACTACTATGTATATAGATAACTTGTTCGTTCTGTGGCTTGGTTGGCATAGCGTCTGGCACATTTTGCTAGAAGACGTCGGTTCGAATCCGGCCGTATCAAAGGAATTTTTCTGAGTGTATTTTATTTTAATAATTTGTATTAATAATTATAACAAACTAGTGGAGTAATTTCACAAAAAATAAATGAATATCAATCCAATAAAAATTTGAATACAGTGGTTAGCGACATCTTTAACCGGGGCTGGTAGCTGTAAAGGTATCTAACTGCGTGACGAAATACTTTCATAGATTTCTCATAAATGGCGCTATGGCTAAAAAGCCGTTGAAAAACCAAATACAAAGATTCGACAACAAACACAGAAAAATTCGTGAGGTGCGTTGGTTCCTGCCGTGGCTTAGTTGGCATAACGTTTGACACGGTTTGCTAGAAGAAGTCGATTTGAATCTAGCCGGAAGGATTTTTTTTAAGTGTTCGATCTTTATATTAATAATTATAACAAACTAGTGGAGTAATTTCACAAAAAATAATTCAATATCAATTCAATTAAAATTTAAATACTATGGAAATTATTTATATTTTATAATCATATTATAATAGAATACAATAGAATAGAATTCATTTATTACAACACCACAATACAAAAATATACAGAAAGAAATAAAAAAAGACAAAGCAAAAGTAAAACAAAAAATAAAATAACAACGAAGCAAGCATAATCCAATTTTAAAACAGTCGACTCAATGTGTGCGCCCGTTGCGTACGTAAAAGGGTCAAATCAAAAACGACTATGACGCTGATTTTCAATGGACCCTAAATATATGAATAGTTTGTATGAAAAGTTTGATGAATGTATGCGCGTTTAAAGTATTTGTTGTGTTAATTTATACTGTACAAGTCAGGTGGAGTAATAGGAACATATTTTGATTCAAATGTTTTGAGCTCTAGGAAGAAAAGATAAGGTCTTACAAAAATTTTAAAGTACACTACACTTGCCTCTGTTTATTACTTTTAGATGTTTTAACACTCATTACGCTAATTTCAATACTTACGGTGTATTTGCCGAAAACGCGCAAATTGTATTCTAACGTTTCTCTTCCCCAAAAGATGGGGTATGAGGAACAGTTTTTCCCGCCTTTTGGATTTAATACTACGTAGCGACATCTCTTTTTGAAATCGTTTAAACTAATATGTTAGTCCGTTTTATCGACTAAGAGACTACAGTGCTAAACTTCAGATTATGATAACTCAATAAGGCTTCAAGTCCATCTTCCGGGGGGTGTTCCTCTTACCCCTCCTGACCTAAAAATTTAGAAAATAAAAAATAAGGAAATTTTTTTGTCCATCGAGTTTAAAAGCGTAATTTTGGCATTGCTTTATTGTATGATAGTCACATAAGTGGCAAACAATTGACGGTTTCCACTATGCGAGCTGGATGAGAAAATCCCGGGTTCGATTCCCGGTAGGGCCAATTTGGGAAATATGCTTTTCATAATTGGATCTTGTCAGTGTTCTGGGTAGTGTCCCATAGTGAATTTGAAGGTAACTTTTAACATTGTCCTATATACTTACTACGAAATAACTTTTTCTTTAATTTTAAATTACATTTTCAGTCAATATAATAATGATGCTTTATTAGGTTTTCCTTTTACTTGCTAGGTGGATAAAGAACGCTCTGGAGGAATTGATAACGTGATGAGTATGTGTGTGTGATTGATACTGTCTTTTTTTATTTAGTTAATTAATAAAAGTAGATAATTATTTAAATAAATATATACTTTAGGTTATTTATAAAATTAAAACGTAATAAAATCCTAGAGATACGTACTAGTCTAGATATATACGAGCATAATATATTCCATATAGAAAATTTCTAGTTTTAAAACTAAATTTAGTAGTGTAATACAGTTTGTAAAATTTTCAATATTATATTCCTGTCAAAGTCATCGATTTTGGCAAACGGAAACTAAACTTAATTTAAGTCCAATACATTTTATCGAGTTCTTAGGTTTTCGCGATTGTTACACATTGGAAATGAAACTATTTTTCCAGATTTAAATAGCATATATTTGTTTTTTCAAACAAACCGACATTTCGGGCCCTTTACAGATCCCATGGTCACGGTTGACACGTCGGTTTATTAGAAAGAGCAATTTAAAAAAAATGTTTCATTTCCAAAGGATTTTAGTTTAGACTTTGTCAAATTTGTCGCGATAAAACACGACTGAGCAGTTTATAAGTATCGACTATTCAACAGCTCTAAACTAAAAGTAGTGTTATTCCTCATAGCGAAAGGAATATTCACGGAACTTAAATTAAGTTTAGCTTTAGATCGCTTGAATTGACACTAGTAGTCACAACTTATTAATAATTTAGATACAGATTTTTTAATACTTTTTACGTAATATAAGAGTATTTGATATATAAAGTATCTGACTTAGTTCGACTTGGAAGAGTTAATCTATGTAATTACTACAACATATGGCGTTTTCTGATAAATTTATAACTAACGTAGACGATTATCATTAGAGATTTTTTTATCACGGTACGACTTCTCATTAGTTAATACGTGGGGCGCACTATAAGTTTCCGGAATGAATAAGAAAAAATACTATAAATGGTCAG